GCCGCCTCGGTCGTCGGGCGGCGAGGTCAACCGGGATGAGTTTGATAGTTTCGTGAGCTCGAACGCCTCGCCGACGCTTGAGAGTCGTGCACCTCGCCACCGAGTTGGTCGAGGTGGGCGATGAGGGTCTCGGCCTCTGCAGAGAGCCTCGGCGTACTCGATGCATTCGGCGTCGCAGATCGTATGCATGTTCGTGCGTGGACTCAATTGTGATGACACCGCTAGGGCCCGGCATCTTGAGCTTTGAGGTAGGTATAGTTGGGCACTTTGCCATGAACTTGGCGTAGTACCGGCCCCCCAGGATGGCGTGGTAGGCTCCCCGAACCCGACTACCTCGGTGGTGAGGACTTCCTTCTGGTAGTTGGAGGGTGCCAAAGCGACGGGAAGGTCGATGCGCCCAGGGGTCGCGTCGCTTCACAGCACGATGCCGTGTGGAAGGGTGCGACATCGCCTCGGAGCCTCGATCGGTCGATCTCAAAGAGTTCTAGGGTGTTGGCGTAGAGATGTTGAGGCCGCGCCTCCGTCCATCAACACCTTGGAAAGTCGGGTGTTGCCGATGATCGGTCGACAACCGATGGGTACTTGCCGAGATTCGGAACATGGTCAGGGTGGTCATCTCGATCGAAGGTGATCGCCTCTCGAGACCAGTCAAGGTACTGGGGGGTGGCTACCTTGACCGAGAAGACTTCTCGACGTTCCCTCTTGCGCTGCCGCGTCGTAAGGCATGCCGAGGGCCCGCCGAAGATCATGAAGGCGTTGCGTACTTCGGGGAACCCGTCGTCCTTGTCCTCGTCCCGGTCGCCGGCGCCCTTCTGCTTGGCGTCGTCGTCGGGGAGCCCGAGCCTGACGTAGTAACGTCGCAGCATGGAGCAATCCTCGAGGGCGTGCTTGACCGGGCCTTGGTGATAAGGGCATGGTTTCTTGAGCATGTCGTCGAAAGGCCTAGGGCCTTTGGGGCCTCGGGGATTCTTGCGTTCTACGGCCCCGACCAGATCAGCCTCCATGGCCTCCTGCTTCCCTAGGCACCCCTTTTTCTTTCTCTTAGGGAGGTGGGAGGCCGAGGCATCGGGGGCCTCGTCCCTCCATTTTCCCTTGGTGTCGCTGTCGGGGAAGATGGCACCGACGGCCTCCTCGCCCGAGGCGAAGTTGGTGGCGATGTCGAGGAGCGCAGCAGCGGTGCGTGGCACGCTTCGACCTAGCTCCCGCGACTGAGTCCCAGCGGTGGTGCCGGAGAGAAAGCTTTGGGACGATCTCTCGAGTCACCGACGCTGGGCGACTCGGTGCCTTTGCTTGGAGAAGCGCCGGATGAAATCTCGAAGAGACTACTTTGGTTTCGACGGCAATTCTTAAGGTCCTGAGGAGTTTCCGGACGTACGACGCGTTCTCGAAAATTCCCAACGAAGACCCTAACCAAGTCGCGCCCGGTCGTGGATCTGTGAGGGAGGAGGTGCTCGAGCCGAGCTCGCGCACCGAGTCTCGACAAGAGTAAGGAGGTTACGGGATGATGAGCAGTCATCATATGCGCCACCTAGTCCGCGCGCATCAGCGTGAGGTCGGCAAGCCGAGTTCGGGGTTGGTCTCACCATTGTATTTGCGAGGTTGGTGGTTGCCGAAAACGGGCGGGAACTAGGCGACACGGATAGCTCTTTGAAGACTCGAGGCCGGTGTGGCTCGGGGAGAAGGGCTGCGGTCTTTCTCATTGTCGTGGCGGCTACCTCGGTGCACATGGTAGCCTCGGGCAGCCCCTCACCGTCGTGGTGTGTCGCCGGCCGACCGACCACCTCGTGGTCTCCCCGCCTCGTGTCGATTGTCGAGGCGGTCAAGGAGCACGGGGACCACATGAGCTATCGGTGCTCGAGCAGGTTCGGGACGAGCCGAGGCTTCGTCTCTGCCGAGGTGGTGCCGCTGGCAGGTTCGAGACGCCCCGCGCGTCGGGAGGCGTAACTCTCGGCTTCTCAACCGCTGGCGGTCTCTAGGAGATCTCGGAGTTCGCCGCAGACCCGCCCCCTCCGCCAGAGAAGGCTTTCGGCATTGCGCGAACCAAAGATCGCCAGCCTTGCGCCATGACGCTTCGCTAGCGCGATTGAAGATCGGGGTTGCTCACTTCCTTCGTCGTTATGGATGCGGTGATGCACGTCGAGGGCCCTCCGTCGGGCTCCCCCGCCTTCGCCGTGACCTCGCTGTTCCTGTTCGAGAGAGTCTCGAAGCTACTGCAGAAGGAGTTGGTCTTGCTCGACCTTGGCCTGGAGCTCATGGAGTCTGTTCTGGAAGGTCTGGCGCCGAGGTCGCGCAAGAGCGACGTTCTCATTTCGTCTTGTGCGGCGGAGACGGCGCGTGGAGGTGTAGTGACGCCCGCCAAAAGTGGCGAGCGGGGAACGGCTACCTGCCCCCTCGTCCTCTTCGCCCGCCCTCGGCATCCCGAGCCCGACATGAAAACATTCGCGAGTGGGGTCGTAGGTGCCTTCGTCGTCGGAGTCGGAGTAGCCGGCAGTAGTCGCTTACGGCCAAGAATTGGCGCAAAGCCCCAGGGTTGTGGAGTTCGGAGAAATCCACCCCGGCCATGCCTCGTCCCTCGTCCGAGGAGTCGGGGGTGCTCAGTCGAGAGCGGCTACCGCGGCGCTCGAGGGGTGCTCGTGGCGGCGATAAGCGTAGGCGTAAGAAGCGGCGGCATTTCTCAACCCAAAGGGGTATGGGGAGGCTGCCTCTCGATTCTCGCCCCACCGTGGTCGGCTCTTGAGGAGTGGTAGAGCGGAGCCGGACGACTGAGCATCGCCAAGTGCCATAGGCAAGTCTCCTTTGTCCAAGCTCAGGCTAGACAGTCCCCGACCAGGGACCCCAATACCAACACCGGGTCGTAGGATATTGGCGGGGTGGCGTGTCGCCCGGATTCGTAGCGCGTCGTGGTGGCCTTGTTCGTGCCGTGCTTGGCGAAGCGCGCGGCGAGAGCGCCCGACGCCCGCTCAAGGCTGGTCTGCCGGGCGTAACTTCATCGTTGGTTGGTGGGTCTCGAGGAGTGAGGAGCACCATGTCGTACTCATGCCCTAGAGACATGAACTCTAGGCTCCCGAACCAAACCACGGTGCCGAGACGCAATGGTCGTACGTGGTCTGCCATCCGGAACCTTCTGGGATGACGAAACCGACACGCAGCGACCCCTACCTGGCGCGCCAACTGTCGGTGTTTCGGACCGGGGGGTCCTCAACCGACTAGTGAATTTATTTTGCGTGCTCCCGATTCCGGATGGTGATGCAAAGAGACACAAGGTTTATACTGGTTCGGGCAATCGAGGCCCTACGTCCAGTCTGAGAGATCGATCTTGTATTCCTTGCACCGAGGTGCTCGTAGTAGGGGGTTACAAGCTCCTGCTCGAGGCTCGAGGCCTCCTGCTCGAGGCTCGAGGTGAGGTGGAGGAGGGCTCGGTCGTGGCAGGTGAGGGGCCCATGGCTTACCTTCTATCTTTATTTTGATGTTTGCTTGGGGTACCCCGTTCTAAGGTACCCGACAAGCACTTTCGTTTTTATTTGGCAATTAGTGTTCAATCATGGACTAATTAAGCTTAAAACGTTCGTCTCGCTATTTCCAACTAAACTGTGCAATTAGTTTTTTTGTCTACATTTAATGCCCCATGCACGTATCGCAAGATTCGATGCGATGAGTACTATAGCACTTTACTTTTTGAGAAAACTTTTCACGAACTAAACATGGGCTGAGGTGTCACCTTTCCGGATGGTTTGGCTGGCCTGAGGCGTCGCCGGCCGGTACGGTCGCTTGACGTGGGTTAGTCTCCACGCTAAGCTACCACCGCCCGTCGGATTCTTCACTCCCTGCTGCCTTCCGAATTCCAGTGCGACGTGCCTTTCCATCTCACAGTTTACTGCTCGAATTCTTATGATGTGCCACAGCGCCAGCTAAGGTGTGTCTTGTATACTTTGGGCGCGCGCCTCGTCTGGTTACTTTTGATAGTTTTGATGGACCGCGCACGCTGGAGTAAGCTCCGTTCGTTCACATGCCTTTTCAGACTTCAGACTCACCAAACACCAAGTGCCTCGCGCGTCCTTTGCATATGCGGCGCCCTTCGAAGCCAAGCCAAAGCCTTGCGCAGCTGTGCAGCCGTGGTGCTCGTGCTGGCTAGTACAGAAGCAACTGGCGGGGAATAGCTGGTCACCACCAAACGAAACGCAGGCGACGCCACGTTTCTGGTCCTCCCTCCGCCGCAGACCGCAGACACGAGAAAAAAGTACGTGTACTAGTACTAGAACAGTGCGGGCCGGTCCGATTCTGATCTCGGATACACGGCGCGGGCAAGGCAAACGAACAGGAGAGAGCCCCGGCCCCCAGAAGACGCCGGGTCGTTTCGTTGCGGGCAGGGAGTCGTGTCGATCTGCCACCGTTGGCATCTCGCGGCACGGGACGACGGGGAAAGCGTCGGTCGGTGTCGGTGGGTTCGGGGTACCACCTCCGTCCACGTCTGGGGGCGGGGACTTGGGATACGATGCGATGCGAGGGCGGCCCCGGCAGGCGAGACGGCGAGTCAGCAAGCCAACCGCAACCGTGTCCGCGCACCTTGTCCTCGTGGCCGTCAAGCTATTAACTGCTAACCTGAGCGAGCGAGTGCTGATGCTGATGTTTGTTTAAGCAATACGCAGAGGCTTTGGTTAGTTGGTGCTCCATCGACTCCTTGATGATCTGTGTTTATTTTTCTGTTTTCTTTTTTGCGTAGACCGACCGCTTGCTCAGCTGCTCTCTTTCTTTCTTTTTCCCCCCTCTTGATGATTGAGCGACTGCTGGTTCTGTCACCTGTGTGCTGGCTCGATCCGTACGCTCATAAGAGAAATCATATCGATCGCCTCGCCTGTGGCGTATGCACGTGCATCAGTTTATTTCCTGCTCTTCTACTTGGAGTTGGAGGAATTGGGATGGGCTGGCCACGTGAAGGTCGTGTTGTCTTCGTGCCGTCAAAGCGATCCTCTGCAGTCGGGCAAATCGACTGTTCTCTACAGTCAAGCATCTGAGCCCTCCGTTTCAGATCCAACCGCGAGCCCACAAAACGCCAGAACCAAACTAGTCTTGGAAGTCTGCAGCCGGCCCATCTCAGCCCAGCCACGTGAAGGATGCCCGGGCGACTCGTACCAGTCCTGGACTCCGCCGTTGCAGCCGAAATCGTCGCAGCCGTAGCCGGCGTCGACAGGCGCGGCCGTGGCGGACTCCTCCTCGTTGATCTCGTCACGCCGTCGACGCCGCTCACAGGGACCTTGGCGAACGTGGCGGCGGCGGCGAGGGCGCCCCCGGCAGCGCCGACAACCATGGAGCCGAAGACGAGCACCTTGATGTCGGCGGCGACGTCGGCCTCGTCCTTGGCGGAGAGCACGTCGCCGGAGGCTGGCATGTCGAAGGTCGTGGCGTCCCTGCGCGCGGCCTCGCACGACAGCGCGGCGACGAGGCCAGCGGCGCGGCAGTCCATCAGCGCCGCGAGCGCGACGGCGACGGGCGCGGAAGCCGCGACCACCGTGGTCTCGTCATTGGAGCCCTGCGTCAGCGCGGCGGCAAGGTCGAGCGAATTCGCGAGGCACGCGGCTGTGGCAGCGGTGACATCGCTTCCCACGACACCGCACGCACGCATGATGGTTGTCACGACACCGCACGCACGAAGCAGCTTGCGAGGTCACGGACGAAGAAGACATGCGCATCTCATCCGACGAGCAGGGCCTGAGCACCCATGGGCAGGCACACGTCCGGCAGCTGCGTGGGCGGCGACCAAGACGGAGTCCTCCGAGGCACCTGGACGGTCTAACGCACGAGTTCGCGGGAGAGTAGCAACTCGAGGTCAGTTACTCAGTTATGCACGAGAAAGACGGCGGCGGAGTTGAAGGACCGATAGTCGTCCATGGCGAGCTCGTGCGTGCGTGCGGTGTCGTGGGAAGCAATGTCACCGCTGCCACAGTCACCTGCCTAGCGAACTCGCTCGACCTGTCATGCGAGGCCGCACGTAGGGACGCCACGACCTTCGACATGCCAGCCTCCGGCGACGGGCTTTCCGCCAAGGACGACGCCGACGTCGCCGCTGACATCAAGGTGCTCGTCTTTGGCTCCAAGCTTGTCGGCGCTGCCGGGGGCGCCCTCGCCGCTGCCGCCACGTTCGCCAAGGTGCCCGCCCTGTCCCACGATCTCCTTGTGAGCAGCGTCGACGGCGTTGACGAGATCAACGAGCTAGGAGGAGGGGTCCGCCATGGCCGCGCTCGTCGACGCTGCTGTGGTGGGTGTCGGTGGCGTTGACGAGAACAACGAAGACGAGTGCGATGTTTGGGCTGCGATGGGCCACTAGAACGGCCTGCTAGATGAGTTTAGTTAGGGTCACCGCTGGATCACAATGAACGTCTCAGATGCAGCGACTGCAGACGATCTCATTCCCGTCAAAGCTCCCCTTGATCCAAGCCTTGGCATTTTCTAACTCCCACTCCGATGAGACCACGACAAAATTTTCATTCCTCGTGGGTACTGGGGTGGTGTGGTGGCTTGGGAAGAAAACTCCCCTATTCCTTTGGCCAAACAAACTGATCTAGACCTACTGAACTCGGCTACCATGCCCTCCGGCCTCCGGGAACAGCCACAAGAGCCTGGAGTTACCGTGTACGAGCTGTGCAGTCGCTAACAGACAGGCGAATCAGAGGGACGGCACGCATCGCGCAACCAAATCGAATGCCCCCAGCTGCAATATAATAATAACATGACAAAAGATCCATTAGGGCATTGGCACGGTAGTAATACTTGTATTGTATGTATGGGTGTTATAAACTGGAACCACACAACCAACACAACACTCATACTGTCACTGTTCACAGACACCAGAGGCCTTAGCATTACCCACCCTTGCAGATGTTACACAAGGTACTAAACGTCTGAACGTTCCATTGGAAGCACATGTATTCCTTTCCCCTGACCTGGACACGAGCTCCAGGCTCCAGCAAAGTTCTGGGAGTCTGAAGCAGGGGGGCTATCAGGTGCCATGAAGCATCGCCGGATCTCAGGTGCTCTCAACTCTGTCCCTTTGGACCTGAAGCAAAGCCAAATTCCTATTTAGCAGCAGCAGCAGTCAGAGAAACTACTGCATCATTTCTGCGACAAGGTTATAAGACTAGTCTACATAGGAGCCCTGGAATTGCCTCCAGACAATTACAGAAAAACTCAAATCCGTAGGTTTGTCAACAGAAAAACGTAACGAAACACTGAATTTCAGGTTTTCATTTGCACAACATGAGCACATTATACCTTCTCTTTACAGTTGCATCGTCCTTTCAAGGACGAAGGAGTGTTTCACTGAGAACCAGATCCTGACGCGGAGGTGGCAGAAGGCCCCGTGCCGTCTCTTGTATCATGCCGTTCCATCATGCGAGACACCGCAGCAATCCCCGCGTTGACCTCCCTCCTTACCTCAGAACCAAGATCTGATAAAGAGTTACTCCGAGAAAACCACCTCTCCCTCCATCCACTTGCACTCTTGGTTATGGAATCCTTGTACCTGCAATTGTCAAGAAATGCCCACAGGTAAGACACCTGTCCGTGCTCAATTTGTCAGGAGCTCTAATGCGTTGGGTTAGGAGAGTACCTCATTGAAGCTGACTGCAGACGAGATCTCAAATTGTCAGAGATTGATTGTAAATCGGACGGTCCTGCTCCATCTTGATCCACAGGTGTAGACTGAATCCCAGAAATCCTGACAGATAATAGTAAAAACAAAGCACAGGCATTCAATGATACTGAAGAGAAGTGCACAAGCATAGCATCACACATAGGATGTAGGAAGTACCTTTTGTTTGATCTACCAGTACCATCAGCAGGAGTAGAAAAGCGGAGAGATGGACTGGATGCATCCACTAACCCTCGAGTGCGTTCTTGTTCAACAAGAGTACGTAAAGGGCGACCAGAAACTACAGCAGGGGCTTGTTCATAATCCCCTTCTTGACCTGAGGTTGTGTGCTCGTCTGCTGAAAGCACCAGGAATTGTGGGTGGCTACTTGCTCCTGATCTTCCCTGGTGACTATCTCTTCTATGATGACGGTGTGACCTACGCACTGCAGCTGCAGCAGCCAAGTGCTGAATAATGCGTTCTTCAAGTTCTGCATCATCTGCACCTACAGGAATCTGGAAATACAAATGGTGATATTAACAGAAGTACGTGTGTTAAAAGTACATTCATAGCAGAAAGGTGAATGCTATTGGAAAAGTTCCCCAAACATGCATGAAGAAACATGCCCCCACCTCAAAATCACCCAGCATTGGATGGTGGAAAACAGCAGTATTATGTGAACGATTAGCTCGGATGTTCCTCTCTTGTTCAACAGCCTCTAATAGCTCTTGGCTGCAGAACATCACAAGAATAAGTGAGAACCAGCAATTCAGTCCCTTAGGAGTTAAGACAGAATAAAGGTTGCAATTTTCACCTCATAGGATCTTTCATGCTGATAGGCTGCCAACACATGGGGCATTGGGAGCTTCTCTGGCACCTAAATTACTACATGAATTAGAATATATATTGAAAAGCACATGAAATGGGAACTGTAAACATGGTGAACAAAAAGTACTTCCTCCGTTCCAAATTGTAAGTCGTTTTTAGCTTTGTTTTAAGTCAAACTTCTCTAGCATTAACCAAGTTTATAGAAAAACGCACAAACATCTACGACATCATGCAAGATACGTTAGATACACCATGAAATATATTTTGACGGTGCATTTATTTGATATTGTATATGTTAATATATTTTTCTACAAACTTGGTCAAAGTTAGGCAACTTTGACTTAGGAAAATACTAAAACAACTTAAAATTTGGAACAGATGGAGTAGTAGTTTCAGTAGATGTTTAATTGGTTTTTCTTCAAATGCATGCAGCACAGATTGTTACATGTATTATTTTTTCTTGCATTGTTGATTGACCACAGAATGTTGTTACTTTCTGTCTTACTCCAGTATCAGAAACCACACACTCAATTTAGCTCCACTTTATTTTTCATGAAAACTACAAATCCCAATAAATCTGTGACACCATAACAAGCCATTAAAAAATTCCTGTCGCCAGGCATTAGCTTCATGAGCTCACTATAGACGAATATTCATGCTACGAACTTCTCCAACAAAACTAAGATTCTGACACGCATGACACAAACTTAAGTTAGTAATAAGAACTACAGAAAGACTTCCAGCAGAACAGTTGTTCAGTCAACTACTTCTAAGTTATTAATAAGAATTGCTCCAGGAGTACACCATCTAGAAGAACAAAACAGATGAAATAATGCAATGACGTGAATCATATGTTCCGCAATGTGTTTTCATAACCCAAGAGAGACACGCATGTTGTGCACGATCATTCAGTGTTCCCAACTTGTATAGGCAAGTTGAATGCAGTTACAGACAAATGAAAACAAACAGAATATATGATTCACTTCCATCTCATGTGGTAGACTAGTGCTCCTTACGAGCAAGAATTAAGCTGTGATTAGCTTATACCGCCATGAAATAGGAGAATTCTGAAAATATTTAAACTAAAGCCATATCCAGATAGTTGCAATCAACTGCGTCACAAAAGCATTACTGAGATGAGAACATTAGACGAGCGCCATTTTACTTCATAAATTCAAAGCTGAAGAGAAGTTGTTTGGTTTGGTCTTTGGTGTTAACTAAGGCTATGAGCATGAATGAAATGCTGTAACACAGGGATTGGTGTCATAATTTATGCAATATACAAGACAACTCAATGCACTGAAGGTTGATCAAGAGAATGCAGAATATGCAGTTGTAAACTAGAACAGGCAAAACTGCATAAGGTCTATAATTTGCAGGCAAAAGGTAAGGCATAGATGTTCTTGGAGAAAAGAATAACGCATCAAGAGACGTTACCATTCAAGAATGCACTGGAGATGGTAGTCATGCCTGCAATTGGTCATCTGCAAAGAACACAGCAGCACCAACGAACATGAAAGGCCCGATAAGCGCATCGGTCAGAACTGACAAGCAACCAAAGTATTTGGCGGCGGCGGCGGATGTGCGGACCGTGGAGGGGTTGCTGTCGCAGAAGGCGTCGAGGCAGATGCTGCAGGCGTCGTCGCAGGCGTCCTGCACGCCCCCTCCACGAACGCCGCCGCCGAGGACAGCTTGCTCTCCATCTTCGCCTTCTCGTCCATCTCCGCCGCGAGTGGGTACCCAAACAGGTTCCTTCGCTTAGCTCTCGTCCCGCACGTGTATCCTCGGTGAAATTTCCTACAGCCAAGGCAAAGCCAAGAGGCGCGTCGATTGGAAAGAACGCGTGCCATTCAAAATCCCCCGCTTCACGCAACAAATTTGGCCCGAAATGGCAACCAACGCCGCAGAATTGAGGCGGCCCGGCCGGGGGAAACGGAACGGTTGGGAGGATCCGGGAGGGTACCTGGTCCTGCTTGCCCGCCCGGGACGCCACCAAACGCCACGAAAACGATGGAGTTCCTGGTGGGAATCGGGGATCGTTCCACTCCGCCGCCGAACGCCGGAGACGAGCCGGCAACGTCGCGCTCGCGCCTGGAACAGGGGGGGTGGGTGATGGCGAGAGGAGACGGTGACGGGGGATTAAACAATTCCTCCGCCGCCGCTCCCTCACCTCCCCTTGAACCAATGACAGGTGGGGCTGGCCAACGGTGGGCCCGCCTTATCTAGTCATGCTATTGCAGGGAGTTTGCCAAAATTGAGAGGCGTGCCGCGTGCGCACGGGTTCCCCACCGAGGTGCGGGGCCCGCGTTTATATTGGCCACCCGGTGGGGCTCCTGTGACCAAGGCACGGCGTCGGTGATTGGCGGAGCACTACTCACGTCTCGCATCAGGCGTCCGAGGGGCTAGCAACTAGCATCCGGCCATCCGATGCATGTCACTATGCAATCCACTCTGTATTGTATCATATATTAATTTCTCTCATTTGTGCACCATCAACAAAGGGTCCATAGCTCAGTGGTAGAGCAATTGACTGCAGATCAATAGGTCACCGGTTCGAACCCGGTTGGGCCCTTATTGGGATATTTTTTTTCACATTAATTTTTCCTCAAATTTTGATTCTTTTTTTTTTAAATTTTATTTTTCCTCAAATTTTGATTCTAACCTCACGGCGATTTTTCCGAATATCTTTTTTTCATATTTATTTTTCCTCAGATTTTGATTCTAACCTCACGGCGATTTTCCCCCAAAAATGATACCTCAGGATGATTTAATCATTTAGCATCACCAGGTGCGAGTGCAGGAGCTTGGTTGTCATTTTCAGGAATCAATCATTCTCCAGTATCTAGGCGACGCGGCGAACCAGGCCACGGCACAAACTACAAGCATAAAACCACATAGACATGGGAAACAAAGCGGCCTCAGTAATCATTCATCACGTTTTGGTAACAAGGGAAAATCAACACAGAAGAATTGTTTCGTTGGTCAGGCTCCTACAATACAATCTTATATTCTTACAGGCACTAAGAACTACACCTATCGAACATGGATGAGCATAATTGAAACATTAGTCTTGGAATGCAGATGCAGGATGGTTCGCTCTCTTCCTGCCGTTGATTCCCAATGGAAGAATAAAGGGGGTAGAAGAAAGCAATCCCACCTACTCTCATTCTTACTTAAATTACAACGCAGATACGCGATGGGCTGAAGAAGGTTTCATTGCCACTACATATGAACTAGAAAGGAGGGAAATCAAAAGATGCCATGTTGAGCATGAGGACCCTATTGTTAATTTGGTGAGGTTGCTGCTTTCCGGCAAAAGTTCACGCTCCTAGTCCTAGGTTGCTTCAGCGACCCCGGATTTCTTAGTTGCTGAATGCTAACTTTGCTATGAAGGGAAACATCTGCTCCTGTAAAACAATACAAACAGTAAGTAGAACAAACTAACAGGAAGAGCAATAATCAATCAGATACCTTAATGATGCAACGTTATCCATAAAAAAAAGGTAAACTAGGGAAAACAAGCATCTATTACCTATTTTACCGAAGCTTAAGTGCGTCTCCAAGACCAAAATTAGCATTACTTTGATGTCCCTTTCTTCCCAGAGGATTATCTCCCTTCTGCATCATTGCAACAAACTCATTGTAGTCGATCCGGCCATCCTGCAAAATATATGATGGATGAATTAGACAGATTGATTTTACCAATCTTAATTGGAATAGTAAATCTGGTCTACTTACATTGTCCTGATCGATGTCCCCAATAATATCCTCAAGTCGGGTATCCCCTATACCAAACTCCTCACATGCCTTTTGGAGCTCATCTTGAGTTATGTAACCACTGCCATCTTTGTCAAAGTATGAGAAAGCAGCAAAGAGCTTATCCTCCTTTTCAACTTTGTTTATATGCAAAGTTGCAGCAATGAATTCCCCATAATCAATTGTGCCACTATTGTCGATATCCGCCTGATATTTTTATGAAATGTACTTCAACTGAGTTGCAGTCCATAAAGTGGAATGATGATCACCATCAGAAAATTGAAGTATCACTACTGTTTCGATAGACTTCCCAAAATAAATCTTGTATACTTGGTAACACGGTTAAGCTTTCCTTATAATGTGGTATTTTATTTGTTCATCAAAACATGAGACAATGTTGAAGCTAATTGGATGTTCAAAAGTATGCAAGGTTAGAAAAAAAATTAATGATCTTATTCTTGAACTTATTATTAACATTCGTTCATGGTTTATTTTGTAAATGAGAATTAGTGAAATAAAGTGGTCTGCCGACTAAAGTTCAAAAAACTGTAATGAATGGGAACCGATGTGGGGTGATCATCTTGGAATACTTACTGCTTCCATTAGAGCATTGATTTCTGAGTCCATTAAATTAGCACCAACTCTCTGCAAGCCAGTTTTTAGTTCCTCCATTGTGATATGACCACTGTTGTCAGTGTCAAGCATTTTGAACATTTCTTTTAATCCTGCAATTTCTTCCTCAGATAAACTCTCAGCAATAACCTACAAGCACAAAGAAGATGAACCACAAATAGCATCGGTATAATGCAGAGATAGACCATTGGTATTAGTACTCACCCTAAGGGCCATTTTCTTTAGTTTATTCATTGCAGAAAATTGTTTCAGCCGGCTTAGAACAGCGGAATCAAGAGGCTTGTCAGGAGCAACTCCATCAATACAAACCCAAGGGTGACCTATGAAAACCCAGGTCAATCACTATAGCCAATTTGGTTGAGATGAGGCTAAATAAACTAGGAAAGAATTATTTATTGAATTGATATTGGTACATGCATTCATGCTACTCACATAAGGCTTCATGGGCAGTCAATCTCTTCTTTGGATCACGAATAAGCATTTTCCTGACCAAATCCTTTGCACTCTCTGAGATGCTAGGCCAGGGCTCTGACGAAAAGTCCAAGTCACCTTTCAAAACTTGTTCAAATATCCCTTGTTCACTTTCTGCCCCAGAAACCAATAGAAAACTCAATTTAATGCCAACTGTCAATGTCATATAAAATTGCAATGCAATATTTCACTGAAATGGCTACATATAACCTCACCATCCCAGAATGGAGGGACTCCACTCAACAGGATATAGATTATGACACCAGCACTCCAGACATCAACCTCACGGCCATAGTATTTTAGCAGAACCTCAGGTGCAACATAGTATGGGCTTCCAACGACATCTGTAAACATCTCGCCTGCACAAACAATTATCTTAGTCCAAATGGCATCAGAAGAATGCTATTTATGAATTAGGACTGCATGTGGTAAAAAGAATGCGATAACATTCATACGATTGGTTTCCACCGCCTCATATTTCCTTTAAAAAATAGACATAATCTGCTGCTATTTTTTTTCTCGAATACGCAAAAGCTTTGCGTATCATTGATTAAGTAGAAGAGTTTAGACAAACATACAACGCGCTTGTATCGAGCGCCGAAGGAGGTCAATCTAACACAGCCGTAGCTGGACCATCCTAGCAAGAGACCTCTAGATTTGATATTACATTCAAGGAAACAACCAATACCGACATAACGGTGCGACCTAGGAGGTGGACTTGCGTCCTCGCGGCTGCCTGGACCGAACAGCCGGGAAGAGCTCGTCCAGCGCTTCGGCTTCGGACAGTCAGGTCACCGCCGAAGAGTTTGTCATAGGCCGCCAGCTCCGACGCGGATGGCGTTGATGGATCCTTGGTGAAGCCCATACGCTCCATGATCAGCACCTCACCTCGCTTGGAAGCAGGTACTCGAGAGAGGGGCTGAGCCGCCAACCGCCTGCTCTGCCACGGCATCACTGGCTTAGCAGGAGGCTGCTTTGGAGGCTCACGAATTAGTGGAGAGTCCCTCTTACGTGTCACTTCGTTGATGAAGCTATCGAGGCGGCGTTTGGCGGAGTCATCGTTGTCCTCGGTCGGGTGGGTATCCACCGGCGGTGAACTGGGAGGGCCAGCGTCCACCATGAGGTTCGGTGAGTCCACGGCCCAGTGAATGGGGTGCGGAGGTGGTATACACAACGCACAGGAGCCCATAGCCGCCGGGTCCTCATCCTCCAGCTGGGGTGCCGTCACTGCCGGGGCCTCATCTTGTAGTTGAGGGGCCACCGGAGGTGACAACTGGCGCTCAAGAGAAGGCCACGCGATGATCCGACTGCTGGCGAGCGAGGCTGCGAATTCCTCCAGCATCGGGTCCTCCGTGATGTCACGACCATGCGTGGCGTCCGGTATGAGATGTCGGCGTCAGGGTCAGTCGACATCGCCTGGCTCTTTGCCCGTCGACATGCCCAGACCGAAGCCAGCTTGAGCTTGAAGAATCGAGGTGAAGGCCGGAGCTGTCAGGCAGCCCTCGCCGACCGCCAGTGACACCTCCGCCTTGGCGCCGGCGACCACCGGTGGCGAGAAACAACGATGGCCGACTTGCCCCTATCTAAGTCTTGCGAGCCACCATGGTCCGCCGGCCCAGCGGAGCAGGCGAGGTGCTGCGGCTGGCGACCCATGGCTCTTGCATCGCCCAAGCTCCGAGAGCCCAAGCGCCTTGGCTGCTTGCAGTGGCGCACAATGTGTCGAAATCCTTGCACCGTAAACATCGTTGGGGAAGCTTGCGGTTGCCACCCGATGCGCGGAGGAGAGGCAATTGAGGCATTTGCCGAGAAGATCTACCGGGATGTGTCTCGGTGGTCGACGACTCGCCGGCTGGCCTCCGCTTGCTGGCCCTCGTGGCTCAGCCGAGGCGGTCGCTGGTCGCGTCTCCTGCCGGTGGAGGATCTCCCGCCACCCATCGGTGTTGGGGGCGGAGACCCGTCCACGGCGCCCGAGGCGCTGGCGTGCCGGGATGCGGCCCTCTACTGGCCGAGCCGGCATGCCATACAACAGTTGTGGGCGCGGCCGATCGTGTTTCCCCCGCCGCTTAGCATCCTGCGACCACGCGCGCACATTGCCGCCACCGGCCGACATCAAAGGTTGAGTGCGCGACAGGGACATCACAGGCAGCGTCGACGTCCTCGGCGGCTGCGGCTCCTAACGAACCGCGTCTAGGTAGGGGGTCATGGAGGTGGTCTGCACCTCTTCCGCATCGGAGTCATCGAGGAGGTCATCGTCTAGCCAACGATGGGCCTTGGAGCGTCCCGCCGCGCTACTCCCAGGATGGAAGGGGGCAACTTGGGGGATAGGGTGGACGATGGGCTCAAGGCGGAGGCGGACGGGTGAACGAGGAAGGCGTCGAGGTCGGAGGCGCGGGAGGATTGACGACACCGCTGCATGGAGCCACGCCCGTCCGGCCGCCTCCTGGCAGAAGCGCCACGCTTCCGACCCGTGGGCATGAGGCCTCGCGCCCACCGGGCGGCGAGCACGATGCAGAGCCCGTCGTCGCTGGCTATCTGCGGGCTTCTCTGCCGCAGACTGCCTCGAAGCCGGTGACATGGGTGGCGGTGGCTACGCATATGGCGCGCCAACGCTGGCGACCGCGGTGCCCGGATCAAGCGACGACGGAGGCGACGAGCTCGGACCGGGGCCGCCCATGGCAGCCAGCTTCTCATGACCGACTTCCGCCGACACCTTCTCCTCCGGCGCCGTCATGTGCCGTGGCGGCGGCAGTGGCTGCTGCCGCGCGATGGCCTCTCCATCGCTGCCGGCCATGGATCCGGCCGCCCGAGAATCGGCTGCCTCCTCGGTCTGCGGCGGCGGTAGCGCCCCATCACCGGCTTCCACGAGCTGGGAGGCCACAGTGGTGGCGGCGGCGACGCTAGGCCCCATCTACGGAACCACGCCCGGAGGCCGCCTCCAAGCAGGGGAGCGGGCGGGGGGGAAGGAGGGGAGGGAGGGGTGGAGACGACCTTCATGGCCGCGGCCACCGTGGCCGGGACGGCTCGCGTCGGTGCCGGCGCTGTCGAGGATGGGGAGCATGGCGTGGAAATGGTGGCTCCCGACGGTGGGGGAGGAGGGGGTGGGGGATGAGAAGGGGAGGGGGAGGCAGGCGCCAGTGGCGGCGGCGGGAAGGCCACCGGCGCCGGGTGCGGCGGTGAGGATGGTGGCGCCGCCAACTAGGGTTGGGGTGGTGGTTGTCGGTGTTTCGAACAAACACCAACTAGTAAATTTATATTTGTTGCGCGTTAGGCTCGGATGGTGTACTAAAGGACACAAGGTTTATACTGGTTCGGGCAGAATGTCCCTACGTCCAGTTTGCTGCTGCTCGTGTTATTAGTACCGAAAAAGGTTCGTAGTAGGGGGTACAAACGATCGAGAGAGGGACATATCCCAAGTCTCTGATGGAAAGGTCGAAAGGATGGCAAGAGCTCGGTTGCTGCTTGGGTGTGTGTTGTGTGTGGAATCGATCTGTCCCCTTAGTGGGGTGCCCTGCCCCCCCTCGCTCTTTTATAGACCAAGGGGGAGCAGGGATTGCAGATGGAGAAATAGGAAAAAACCAAAGGTAGAGAAGGTCCTTCGAATGAGCCGTGTCTTCCTTTCCCCCTGTGCCTGCCCTGCTGACATGGCAGACCGTGTCAGGGATGGCGTGTTCGCTGATCCTTATAGGGCCGTGCCCTGGCCTCATCCAGCAAGTGGGTACGTCCCATCCTACACCGACGGACGGTGCGGCGTGCCAGGGAGCCGAGCTGTGACCCTACGGGGAGTAGACGGGGAAGTGACCATACGTCCGTCACTGTAGATGATGTGAGTTCTCCCTTGGATTGTAGTGGTTGTCGTATGCTTGTGTCAGGATCTGCGTCCGAGGGCTGATGGCGGCGCCCACAACACTGTAAGACCAAAGTCGGCGCCTACAAGACTGTTCGGGCTCTGCCATGCCTGGAAGGGCTTAACGCGCCCGTCCCGTCGTATCCTGACGGTACTTTTCTGCAGGCATGCAGGGTATGGTCCTCGGTACTACGGTTGACTCGAATGTCCTGTCTTCCTCGTGCTCGTCATCATGAAGGAGCAGGACGCAGTCGTCGGGCGAGGCGGAGCCAGCCCTCTGCCGTCGGGCGAGGCGGAGTCTAGCCCTCGGGGGTCGGGCGAGGCGGAACCAATCTTCCGTCGTTCGGGCAAGAAGTGTAGTAGCGTTTTTGTCTGACCGGAAGCGTAGCTCCACCTCATCGGGTATCCCGGTATTAGGTCCCCGACAGTGGTCGGGCCATTCTTTTTTTCTGCCGGGCGGCTCCTGGTTCGGAAATCTCAGTCACTCGCAGCACCCTGCTGCTATTTTTATATGTAGGATTTTTGCTGAGCATAGAAGCCTGGTGTTAAATCACCTACTGTAAATCAATGTGTAAAATGGGTCTGCTAACTTTCTAAGCCATGAGAATGTGGCTAAATGGGATTGAAGATAAGAACACAAGCAAACCTTATTAGGAACTTCATAAGTTTTGGGGTGATGCTCATCAACTGCAAATTGTAGTGATATTATAACGAGATTGAAGAAAATAAAACCAGTGCTGACTACTTGCTCAATGTAGTTCAGCAGCATAAGTGATCTCACAGCATGGTGATTGGTAAAAGTGACGTAACCATTGTGTGAAGTACATACACACACAAAACTATGCATGTATCAATTGTCAATCTACATTTTGTTATGACCACATGGTGGCCTCTTGCATGCACGACGACAGCAGTGATATCCCTACATACGAAAATTCCCCCATTCTGTAACAAGTGTTTGGCAATTGGCACCTCAGTTGCTAACTAAGTATTAGCTCCACTGACAGGCTCACATTATATACTATACTAAAATAACTTCACAATCAGATAAAGCTGCATTGCTATACAAGGAATCGATGCCATATATACCTGGCTTGAAGAAGATGGACAGGCCAAAATCGATGGTCTTCAGGGGCGAGTCCTCCTTTTGATTGATAAACAAGAAATTCTCCGGCTTAAGATCCCTGTGCATCACGCCGAGCGAGTGGCACGCCTCGACGACGCCGACTATCACCCTGGCCAGCTGCGCGGCCGCCTTCTCGGAATAGTGCCCCTCTGGATGATCCTGTCGAAAAGTTCGCCACCGGCGCAGAGCTCCATGACAAGCTGCACGGCGACGGCGTCCTCGTAGGCGCCGATGATGGAGACGACGTTTGCATGACCCGCGAGGTGGTGCATGATCTGGATCTCGCGGCGCACGTCGTCGACATCCTCCTCCGTGAGCAGCTTCCGTTTGGCAATGGACTTGCAGGCGAACTCCCCGCCGGTGGCCTTCTCGACGCATAGGTAGGTGGTGCCGAATTGACCCTGCCCTAACTTCTTGCCAATTGTGTAGAGGTCCTTGAGCCGGGCCGTGTTAACGTCGCGCTTGAGCACGGAGTCCGCGAGGAGGCCCGCGCTCTGGACACGCTTGACCTTGGGCGCGGGCTTCTTCGCCGGAGGGTTGTCCTGCGCCTGCGGCTGGGAGGCGGGGGCCGGTGGTGGCAAGTCGGTGGATCGGGATGAATGGTGCGAGGAATGCTCGGATTCCGGGATGGTTACGGGATCGGGCGCCTTGTCGGAGGCGGGGGAGGAGGGCGGCGGTAGGGCTGGGGCTGCCGCGGGGTCGTCGCCGCGCGGCCGCCACAGGGTGACGTTGGCCAGGAAGCCGTTGCGGCCGGTGGCGCTAGGGCCGACGCAGGTGTTGCCCATCGCCGCGGGGACGCTACACGGACGGCAGCGGCGGCGGCGACGGCGATGGCGGTGGCATTGGACGCGGGGGCGGCGGTTACCGGTTGGGTGGTTCAGGTTGGATCTATCGTGGAAGCGGGGCGGAAGCGGAGGAACCGACGAATGGAAACGGAGCCGAGGTGGGTCCCGGGCAGCGGGTTCGTGTGGATGGCGTGTGGGTCCGCCGCGTATGGAGCCGTTTGTCAGCGTCGTGCTCCGGCGTTTGGAGGCGAGTGACACCGCGGGATGCGGATCGGGGTCTTGGGCTCTTCGCGCCAAATCGGATGGCTAATTGCCGTTTTGCCCACCAAATTCCAAGTCGTATTTGGTCACTGGACGGGCCGTTTCATCCTTGGCTGAATTTAACTTTCATGTGGCAGAATTACTTAGGTTTCTACTAAACAAATGACTAAAATGTTTACCGGTCTTCCAGTCCAATTGCTTCTTTTTTCCGGTAATGCTCTCCTCAGGTCATTGGACGCTTTGGACGTGTCCTTTGTGGGCCTGCAGAGCCCAATACTAAGCCTGCTCCCGGCTTTAAAAAAAAACGATTCTACCACCTCCTTCTCTAACTCAACCACCCGCTGCTAGCTGGTCCTGGTGGCGTCGAGCTTGGCGCGGAGGCGCGCGTTCTCTGTCTGGAGCCACGACGTTGGTCTCGAGAAACAGCACGATGGCGATGGTCTCCTTGAGGATCTTGTGCTCCAGCAGCTGGTACGGAGGCGGGACTCCTGCTCCAGGAGCTTCTCGACGAGGCGGATGAGGTCTGCTGCGGCTCGGGCGGCCTCGTCGCATGCACCTGCTGCACCTGCGCGGACGACCACGGGAAGTAGCGCGAGAATGGCCCGCCCCGCATGTATCTCCCCCCCCCCCCCCACTTCGCAGCATCGAGCTCCGCATCGACGAGCCTCCATTCATCCGAGCAGCAAGCAGATGCTATGCTGAAAGCACATGTTGCAAGAGTATGTTTCAAGTGTTTCAGATATTTCAGAAGTATGTTGCAAGTGTTGTATATTGATGTTGCAAAACTATATAGAGATGTTGCACATGTTGTAATGGCTATACACATATGTTTCAAGTGTATGTTTCATCTGTTTCAGACATATGTTGCAAGTGTTTTTATCTGGATGTTGCAAAAGTAGATTTGGATGTTGCATATACATGCATGTTGCAAGCATATGTTTCAAGTGGTCTAGGTGTTTTCATACGCTTGTTTACAAGTGTTTCATCTATATGTTGCATATATTTGTAATGGTTTTCAAGTATTTTTTAGGCGTTTCACAAGTGTTTCATCTGCCTTCAGACGTATATTGCAAGTGTTGCATCTGGATGTTTCAAAAGTAGATCGGATGTTGTATCTCTCTCCTCACTTTTTGCTGCCTCGCCTCAGTGTTTCCTCTTCCTCTCGGCGTCAGCTGCAGTCACCCCCTCTCCCTCTTTCTCGATGCTGGTGACGTTTGGGGCGACTTGGGCCCGCGTGGACGCGCGAAATGGCGCGGAAAATAGCTACAGACGCGGGCATCCGGGCGCTAGCAAGCCCATTCTTTTTTCCGCAATAGCATTTATTTTTATAAATTACTTCATCCGTTCCAAAAAGAAATGCAATTCTCACTTTTGGATAAGTCAAACAATTTTATGTTTGAGCAAATTTGTACAAACAATACTAATATTTATAATATTAAATAAGTATCAATTACTACATTGGTTATAAAATATATTCTTATAGTAAGCCTATCTGAAGATATAAATGTTGATATTTTTTATTATAAGCTTGGTCAAATTTAGAAAAGTTTGATTTAACCAAAACTTAGAATAGTATTATTTTTGGGATGAAGGGCGTAATTCCTCTTTGCTAACAAACACAAGTCTCACACCACTTAATCCATCAGCTCATCTTCCGTAACAAAATTTTTTTCCCACTCCTTGCGCATGGAACGCTCCCAACACACATTGCGGCCGTTTGGCCAATTTTTCACGACTTTGCCAACAACCCCCCCTCCCACACCCACATACACATACACTGCTATTCCATGAAAGGTGAATATTTATATTCAACCTCCCCCACTTTTGGGCATTGCTGATGCATTTCACGTCCATCTAATGTCTAGTCTTGACTTGTTTACTAACATAGCCCCATGTTGGTTGCTCTTCAGCCTTGCCTATGACGAGAACAATCTTGACACCATTGGGCGTGGCCGGCGTCGTGTCGCGGCTACCTTATGGTCCTTGTCGGCAAGCAGGTCTAGTAAGGTATCCGCTAGCAACAGGAGCTCATCGCTGGCCGCTAACGACCTCTTGGAGCCCACCTCAATGTTTGACCATCATCAACACAACCCCAATCCGATCCTGCCAACCTTAGTTTCCATGTTGTCGTCGCCCTGGGTGTTGCAACCATCGGTTTGGCGTTATGACACGGGAGGAAGGTACAACGACAACGCAAGAGCATGCAGTGTCGGGTATGCATTGGCATGGAGGAAGAGAATGCAAGGTCAACCAACCGTGTCGAAGTAGGCAATGGTCGGCGCCATCGCGAAGTTGAGGAAGAGTCGACACGGGTGGCCGGAAGCATGCGCTGACGGCAATCACGGGCAATTGTGCCGCAGCGCCCTCCCTAAAATGGGCTTCGACCTCCTCCTGGCTACCCGTAGCCACGATGCCCACCACAGAGTTGGCTATGGAAAGGCAGTCGTTGTCGGGGCCGGACGCCTCTTCGTCCTCGGTCATTTTCCAGCTCGTGCGTGCATCCTGACTCAAGTGTGTAGTCACGGAGCAAGCACGACCATGTGCAACCCGACCGATATCAATCGAGGGCATGGTCGTCTCCAATGGATGCACGAACAAGGCATGGTAGCCGCGCTATTTGGCCTTGTTGGTGACGGCGTGGGCCACCGTGTCAACAAACGGATGTAACCTAGACGGTTCATGTATGTGGATGTGTATTTGAGGAGTTTGGGGGACTTAAATGACACTTTCTGCTAAGTTTAGAGATTGATCTAGCATTGCTAGTGCTGGTGTGGACATGCTCGACCCTGAGGGGGAGGGTCAAGAGGGGATGCCGACCTGGGGCCCCATATCTGCAGTATGGATACTAGGATTAGGCAGTAAGCAGGGAACAACCGAACAGAGCACACAACGCAACACTTGATCTCCACAGAAGGCCGTCTCATTTTTCCACAAGGCGGTGCTCAGTCTCTGCCTAGTAGTCGTCCGCCGCTCACGCAACGCAACGTTAGACTACATAGACGGAGACTCGCTGAACTGAACTACCGGATTCGAGAGACCTCTGATTCCCTGACCGTAAATTTGTGAATCCCGATCGCACGCCCCCACTCCATATATACTTGAAGGTATGAGTATGTCTCTAAGACTGACTTTATAGATTATTAATCTATATAGCATGCTCTAGGTGATTTGGTCGAGATGGTCAATAATAAGATTTATAGACTGTGATCAAATCAATATTGCATGATTGTGTCTTTGTTGTTGCAATGGGGCCACTTATATATATTTTTTGAGAGAATTGGGCCTATTAATTGATGTTATTTGGATTTTGTGAGTTCGACATCGACATGGTAAAGTGATATTTAATTGAGTTCAGCATGTTTGTTGCTTTTTACTACTAGTTTTCAATTATTAACTATTTTGGTAAATTTCAGGTCCTATGTCATCTAAAGGTATGCATTCGGTAGTGTGAAGAAATCATTGGATAAACAGATGTTAATATACAATCATCAATGATAGAAAATTTTAAATGCCACATTAATTTGTTGTTTAATATGAGTATTACTTTCATTTTTCTATTATTATACGATGTTTATGTTAAGGGGCATAGATTATAGGCTTGCCCTAGGCCCCCAAAATCTATGGACCGGCTCTGAGTGTGGACTTGCATGTTGGATCTAGTTTTGACCTGTTTAGACATGTGACATAGCGTGTGCCTAGCTCATGTACGTGGAACATGCATTTTGAAGTTTATAAATTTAGACGATACTATGTCAAATTTAGGGGCCGTTGTTGCACTTTATTACTGTCTTATTATGTCCGGATGCGTTGAAATTGGGCTGTACACACCGAATACAACTCTAAAAGCTTCCAGTGTACACGTTATTTTATGCGGATCCAAATTCAATGGCTTTGAACATGCGATCGCATTCCAGGTACAGGTAGTATGTCGTGGGTGAGCCGGCGCCGACTTGGCCGCTTAATCAATGCAATGTAGCCGCAACTCTGAACAGGGCAATGGGGTTGACGCCTGAGAGATACTGCTGGGCGGCTAGCTGAAATAGATCGCAATTTTTTTTTTCACTAGCTCGGTTGACTTCCTTGTTCAAAACAACGCCCGGCCTTGGTAAATGGTCTTCCAAGTTTACACTACTATTGCTGCTGCTACTGCTCTTGTTCTTCTTGCGATCGAGATGCTTAAACAACCCTTGTCGTCTCAAATCCGTAATTTGACGCACATCAGCAATCCTGACTCCTGAGGTGCAGTCGTCCACGGAGACAACAGGATCGAGGCGCCGACCACTCCGACCAGGCGACCATCTTCTACCGGTCACAAAAGGGAAGACTACTTGTCACTTGCACATTGGGACATCTCAGTTTTCAACCCTATATCCAGCTTCCGTTTCAGCTCGGACGCCCAGAGTTGAATTGTGATGTGAATGAACCTGGTAAAAGTCAGGCGGAAGGACCGGTACTAAAACTAACCAATGGCCGATCCGATCCATATTTTTACCTTTTCTTTCGTTTCCTCGAGAAGATGCATATGCATGAGAATAGTCGTAGTATGTATCAACTTCAAGAATCGAGACCGGATACTTTAATTATAAGCGCGAACAAATCAGTCACAGTTATTAGGACTTCAAAGTTCAAGTGCATGGCCAAGATCGTCCAGAACTATTCCACGAAAGTCCACGACCGTGACGCCAGATACTACAGTACTTCTTATCATCTCTGTCCATAGAAGAATGCAACTATGGATT